CGGGGAGGCTTTTCCTGGCAGCGAGGGGACAGAGAGAGAGAGAGATAGAAATAACACCTCATACGCCTCAAACCCTGAGTTCTCGGTGTTTAGCCTGATCCCTAATGTGAGAGGTCAGAGGTTCGGGGGTGCACGTGTAGACCCCCAGACGGTCCCCAGCGGTTTAGGGCAGAACAAGTGAATTAGAACTGCCGTGAGAGGGCTTGAGGCTAGACCTCAAGAAGAAATGCGTCGATGGGTGAAGGGTATGATGAAGAGGAAAAGCCCGAGGCTGCAGATGACCCCTCATCTTGGGGATTTTCCATATCCCATCCCCTTCCACACACACACACACACACACTGGAACACACACAGAACCACTCCCCACGGAAGCTGCCAGACCTGCGGGGGCAGGGGGTGGAGCTGTTGCTGTGTTGTAGGCGGAACATCCATGTGCCTACATGGTTCCAGGGGACCCAGTCACTACCAAGGCTCCAGGTGAAGCAAGAAAAAAGCTGGCTCCTTCAGCATGGACTTAAAGGGCGTGAGCTTTGTGGGGAGAGCTACGAAAGCAGAGGCAGACACAAGGGCGGAGCGGGGAGCAGACACCCAGAGAGGATAGGTGGCTTGTGGAGAATCACGGGGCACCCTGGTGGACGCTCAGCTTGACCTCTGAGACCTGTCCCCGCAGGCAGCTGTGGGCCCGCCTGGGGGAGCACCACCTCTGGAGATGGGAGGGTCGAGAGCAGCTGTTCCGGGTCAAGGACTTCTTTCCCCACCCTGGGTTCAACAAAGACCTCAGGGCCCAAGATCACAACGATGACATCATGCTGATCCGCCTGCCCAGGCAGGCACGCCTGGGCCCTGCCGTGCAGCCCCTCAACCTCAGTCAGACCTGCGTCTCCCCAGGCACCCAGTGCCTCATCTCAGGCTGGGGGGCCGTGTCCAGCCCCTCAGGTACGGCCTTGCCCATGACACACTCCCTTAGGTCTCATGCTGTCGTTCTAAATCCCTCCTCTTCCTCTCTCTTTGCCTTTTCATTTCTACCCTCTATCTATCCACCCATATGTACCATCACATCTAAGATGCTATCGATCGTAAGATGTATTATTATTTCAGAACCCACTGAGAATGGATCCTCGTGTGACACCATTTACCTGATGACACACTCCGATTTCAGGGATGCTTAAATGTGAAAATCGATACATCTGAGAATCAAAATAAGGCCTACGTCTCTCAGAGTCACAGATCAACAACCTATCAGCCAAACAGGGCTTCCCACATTAGTACTGGTTTTCAAAGTGCCTTGAAAAAAAAGTCAGACTTTGTTGCTACCAACATCTGAGACCTGGAAGATTTTAGATAAAAGCTAAGTTTCTGGATCTGCTTGAAAAACTCGAGCCCACATTCCCAAAGTAGCGAGCGCTGTTGGAAAGGGTCAGTGAAGGTGGCCCCCTGCAGGCAATACCACTACATGGTCCCCTCCGTCCACTTCTGTTTACCCATCAGGCCCCTGGATGCATCTAAGTTTGTGCCTATACATTTTATACATGAAGGTACATGTGTCTACATCCATATCGATCTCGATACGTTGTATATATCTCTATCTCTACCTAGTATCTCTAAATCTCTCTCTCTCTCTCTCTCTCTCTCTCCCCCAACCCTCTAGCCCGTCTTCACATTCATCTGTTTCTCTTTCATGCTATGATTCTCTTTCTCACTGTCTTGGGCTTCAACCTTGGAGAAACTTATGTCGTGACTCCATGGATCCTCCTTAGGAAGCGGGGGTGGGTGGGTACTGAGTGTGTTGGGGACAGCTACCAACCCTCTTTGACTTCCTTCCCCAACAGTGCAGTACCCACTCACGCTGCAGTGTGCCAACATCAGCATCCTGGAGCCTATACTCTGCCACTGGGCATATCCAGGCCACATCACCAAGAGCATGCTCTGTGCCGGCCTGTGGGAGGGGGGCCGGGGCTCCTGCCAGGTGAGATCTGCTCTGAGGACGGATGGAGAGGATGAGTATCCTGCTGGGATTCCTGGGTCCTGGGAGAGAAGGGAGCGGGGCCCCAGACTTCCTGGATCAAAGCAAGGAGAGAGCTGGGACTCCTGGGTCCTGGGGGAAGAGGGGACTAGGGTCCCAGCATGCTAGGTCCGGGGGGAGAGGCGGAGGCTATGAGCTTTTACTCCTGGGTCTGGAGGAGGAGGGGCTGGAGACCTGGAAATCTGGGGGTTGTGGGTGTTAGAAACTAGGGGTCTCTGGAAGGGAGGAAGTGGTCTGTGCAATGTCATGAAGAGACTGGTCGAACAGTTTCTCTGCTCTTCTCCCACGCACAGGGTGACTCTGGAGGCCCCCTGGTTTGCAACGGGACCCTGGCTGGTGTGGTGTCTGGGGGATCAGAGCCCTGCTCCAGACCCCGGCGCCCTGCTGTCTACACTAGCGTATGCCACTATGTGGACTGGATCAGGAAGACCATGGAAAACAACTGAGCCCTGCTTCCTCGGATGACTAAGAAAGGAGAGGACCACGGGGTTCCAGCTTCAGCGGTCCCCACCTTTGGCCTCAGATGTCCTGAAGCAGCTTCTGCCCCCCGCAGAGCAGCGTCACCTGGCGGCTCTGCCGCGGGAGGGACAGCCACCAAGGAGCTCCTCCCCTCGGAACTTCGGCCAATGAGACGTCCCCTTTCTGGACTCCGCCCCGTGTGGCCCCGCTCCTCCCCTCTAGACCCCGCCCCCAGCGACGTCAGGCCCGCGATGGCCCCGCCCCCTCCGCCAAGACCCCGCCCCTGGGACTCGGGCGCACCCTGCACCCAGCTCGACAGCGTCCCATCTCCAGCCGGGACTTCTCTGCGATGTGGGGAGGGCGGGTGCGTGCAGCTCGTGTGAAGTCTGGGCCGAGAGTCAAAGGTCCAGGTCTGGTTTGGGGCCCTGAGAGTCCAGCCTCATCTCACCTTCCCCGGCTGCTGGCTCTGCCCGATTTTCCTCCTGCCGTGTCCCAGGCTCTGCCCCA